CTGACTTTGAAGAATTCAGACACCATCACCTATTTACTACAGCCACAGCTGAATATAGGTGCCTTATCAAAACTTCAAAACATCTTTCTCAAGGTCAGAGAAGTTCTGATATTTTCATGCTCAGGCAGATGTAATCATGGCAGATTAATTGACAGAAATGAGTTTTGCTGATGTACAAGTCGAATGGGACAGACAACCCTACCGAGTCTTGAGATTACAAGGGTCTGTAACCGCAATAATTTGTCCAAGTCTAGGTAAGCTTAAAAAAAAGAATAAAGTACAATAATGCAGGAAACAAGATTTCCTGTAGAATCAGACAGGATATTAGACATTTTCACAGCAAACTACCCTATTTTTGATAGATATCCAGTCAAGTAATCTTATAACATTTTTTAAACTTTATTCAATGGCCGTTTTCTATGTGTGTTGTCACAAGTACTGCAAACATAACAAAGAACTGGTTGATGTGTGGCACGTAAATGGCAAGATCCACCGGAGGATCTGAAAGTGCAATACATAGTATAGAAAATTCTGAACAATGGTACACTATAGAAATTGGATGCATGGTTCAAAGAGAATTTATGGTGCTGATGGAAGTTGAATGACATGAAAACATGTAGATTTATAATAGGCTTCTAAAATACTCTTAGAGCCATCCAGTCCCTCTTAAGGGTAGTTTGTGTTTTTCTGTAATAAAGATGTTTTATTTGGCTTAGCTTACATTATACTTACAGCCTCACTTTATTATTTATCAGTCTTCATAAATGCCACGGACAAATTGTATCAGGATTTGATATCTAATTCTGCAAAAAAGTTTAATAATCAAGTTTAGCTGTGATCTTTACAGAACTCTAGAAACACCTAAATCTCATGAATTACTTTTCAGATCAACCACACAGGCCATTTTTAATCTATTTAGCAATATTACTGATATTGTATAGCCTACATTTTTTATCTGAACATCTCAGTGATAGGTCAGACATCTTAAAAACCAGTATATTAAAATTAATAGTAGCCTTTATCAACTGACTTGTACTACCTTCCAGAAAAGAAATCAGATTTATTCAATGCAACTTATATTACATAAAGCCATTCTAAGAAGTATAACTATATTCCTATGCTTTAATACTTTTATAATTTTACTTCATATAAGATTTTCACTATTTTAGCCAGAAATTAGGTCAGACTAACCGACCTAAAAATATCTGACTGCCTTTTCTGAATATTGACTCAATATTATCACTATTTTAGACTCATGGCATTGTTATGGTATATATACACTTACTTTGAATACTTATTCAAAATTAGGATCAGCAAAATTCCTTAACCAGCCCTATAACAGTTAGCTATAAAAGTTCTCAATTTAAAAATACTACTTCTTTCCAGAAATTGTTTAAAATCCTCCATTGGCTACTAATACACTAGGGATGTTTCACTGTCTTTATATAACATCAACCAACTTAGCGAAATACACATACAAGTCTTCAATCTTTACAATTATAGAGGTTTTTTATCTAATAATGGGCCGTATCCACACTGTAATAGCTACCTCATTACTCGTACATTTTTAAATCCTGCCCCTTTACTATTATTCTTGACCTTGCTACTCCCAGATTTCCTCTTGACTTCTTTAGCCTTTTCTCCATCCTCTATACTCTTATTGTTGCTCATATTTTCAGGTTATTATCTATAAACCACTTTCCACTTGCTTTATATAGCCATTTTATTCCTAAATATTGTGTTCTCTTTCCCACCAAACTAGAACAGGTATTTATAAGGAGCTCCCCTCTAATTATGGAACTCCATTATTTGGTTACTTAATAAACTGCTACAGTACACTATTTCTATTCATATTTTCTACTAGACTATATTTTCCTCATACCAGCTTTGGAGAAATGAGCTGCTCTGAATCTACCTATTTTAGGCACACTGTTGGTTCCCAATTAATGTAATTTAGGACATAGCTCCTGATCCTTATACCACACTCCAACAAAAGTAAATCCAATAATGACTTACAACATACTGGATACAGCAACTTTTGTTTGTAATTATTTCTTCCAACATTTTTAGAAACTATTACTGTGTTTTTCAATCTGTTTCAGTTAGTTGCATGTGTCCCAAACTGTGCTCCTGTGCTCTCCATGGCTATGCAATGCTTTATTGTATATTACACATATGTGCTTAACCAGTAACTCATCATATTCTCTGATTTGACCTAGCGATCTATATGAGACTTGTACCAGAAACCTCTCCCCCAGGTTTCATAACCTAGTATATTGATCCAAATGGATTCAAGATCCTGTGGTTCCAAATTATCAAAAACACTAAAGACAAGTAACAGTGTCTGCTATAAACAAAAAGAGATGTAATCTCTGAAGTTCCTCTGTTGTCCTATCATTGAAATTATTTAATTGTATGTTAAAACCCCCCTATATAATGTCATAAGAGACATGGAATGGCTAGAAAAAGTGACTGCATTCCATTGATTAATGAGGGGAAGATCACACTTGCACTCAGAAAAATAATTAAGGCTTGTGGAGTGATCAGAATAGGAGACACAGAAGAGCCATACAAATATGTTAAACAGGTTAAGCAAGAGACAGTTTAAACTTGATCTCTATACAGAAAACATTTGAGTTACTGGAACTTGAGCAAGAACCAAGGTCAGGGTAAAACTGACAGCTGCCTGAAAGGAAAGAGTAGAAATGAGACAGACCAGACTTCAAAGAATGATCTGGTGCAGAAAGGAGTACTACTGCTTATTGTGCCACCTCGATCTTCCTATGCAGATTATAGCATCAGATATGCAAGAGGTATTTTAACAGGATTTACTTGATATACTACAAAATTCCACTAAACGCCAAGGATTTTCAACTATTTTTTTTACAGTGGTATATTGTGAATAAAATCTGATTTCAGCTAACTTTTTACCCATAAATATTTAGTACCTAACTAAACAAAGCAGTCTACTGAGGAACTCCCTGTTCATCAATATTTGACTTATAGACAGCATCTTTATATTCAAAAAGCTTTCTGCAGAGAAACAGTAGTCAGCAAAAATGTTACTTGAAATATGCATGTATATTCTTTTATCCAGGGGAGAAACCACATATTTAGCTTTATTAGCTAAATATTATTATCACTTATAGAGAAACTATATAAGCATTCTTTTCGCATACAGTATGACCATGTAAATGCTAAAGAATATTGATGGTAACTAACAGAAAAGCAGTCATCTTAATAACAATAAATTAAGTATAATGGTTGCTAAAAGGTGATTCTCCTCATTGCAGCTACTTTTGACAATAGAAGATCTTTTACTTTCTCATTTTCTAATTTTTAACAAACTTCTCATTATGGAAGTTTGTAAAAGTATTGATAGTAAGAACACTTGTTTATCTCCTTTATCTATAATTGCTACTGCAGTTTATTCAATTAAGTAATTCCAAAATTCATAGCTGCCTGAATGGAAACTGAATTGCATCTCTTGATCATCAGTAACATAGGACTATTTCATTTAAAAAAAATAGATAGTACATTAAATTCAGACTTTCCCATACTTACCCAAACATAAGCACGCAGCTGTGGAAAGAATATTCATTTCTTCCTCTTAGAGGAAGCATTTGGTATTAAAGAAAGCACATTTTCCCCCATGAAAGATAACTGTTCAAGAACGGGCAAGAAACTTCTAGGGCACAGTGATCAGTTTTATACCACTTTCCCAAGGGTTATGAAACAAGACAAACAGAAGAATGCCTTCATTTTAATCACAAACTTAAATACAGTCATTTTTTAAAAACACTGGCATATTTTCTTCATGAAAGTCAATCATAATTTTCACCTTAGATATTTTAGCTTAGAAATTCTTTGAATTTAGGATTTTTAAGTGCATTCAACACTGTTCAGTCTTTTTTCATAATGAAGTTGATGTGAATTTTGCAACTGAACTGAACATGGGATGGTTTCAGGCCAATGCAAGAGGTCTGAAAACTGCCATGTAGAATGACTTGTTATCTGATGATGACAGAAAAAGGTAAAATGCACAAGTATTTAAGTGCATTATTAATTTAAATTTCAATCCACAGTGGAAAGGTATTCATGAAGAGATAACTATATATACCTTCTTTTACAGTGCATCGAAATACCACTGATCTTTACTTTGGATGCTATCAGACTTGCTCAAACATATCTGAAAGCAGATCATCTCTACAGAAATACAAGAACAGTAGACAAATGGATCTGTTTCATAGGTTAGTGAGATATAACTATGTCTAAAAACAGGTATACAGTAGATATATGCTAATTTCAAGACAGATATATACTGACTAGGCTTTATGATTCTTAGTTACATAGTGTGTATTTCAGAAAAATAAATATTTCAAATATTAAGTTATAAAATGCAGATTAGTCTCTGTAGAACTTCACATAGAAGTAGTATGATGAAGCAATCTGTATAACACCACAGACACAGTATTACTGTGTACTATAACCAAAATAAGAGAATATTATTCTACATACTGCTCTTAAAACTGCTTTCAATTTTGCAATAAAGAGGCTTCCTTCTTTAATATTTCTGCAACAAAAAGCACATATATGTGGAAAATGAGGTAATTCATACTAATTAACAGGTATTATTTTCTTAAATGTGTTGGGAAATTTTTTTCTGCAGATTAATTTGCTATACAACTAAGCACATTGTCTTGGGAACAACTACACTGGCAGCCATAGATAAAAGGTTACCAATAAAAATTATGGAAGTCTTCAAAAGTCTACGAGAGTAGTCTAGGTCCTAGAGAGGCTCTAGGTCCATTGACTCCTTCTCCCTGTTTAGACCAGCTCAGAGCTGACATCAGGCCAGTGCAGGAACTTTAAAGATTGTTCTACAACAGGGAATCCACCAAAGATTAGCTTCATGTAATCTTTTACACTTTGCTTTCAGTCAAGAATACCTTTATTTAGGTGAACACTCAAAAAACCCCCCAAAAAGTTAAAACTCAAACCTTCACAAATGTCATGAACTCTTCTACTTTGTCATTGGTGAGCAGCAGCTTCTTCTGTACAGTTTCCAAAGCCTGTTTGCTCTGTTTAGCCAAGCCATGTAGTTGTTGAGATGCAGTAGTCTCAAGTTCAGTCATGGCACATTCAGTCTCAATCATTTTGCTCTCTAGATTGGTAAGCTTGAGATCCTGAAATACATCCACAGATAAACAGCAGTGATAAGATAAAAGCTAATAGGCATGTATGGTAGATCATAAATGAATGAACACACACAATGGTTAACATCACAGAATGTTCTACTTGCAATATATAAAATGTAATTTTATGGTAAAAAACAATTTCAGTTTTCAGTCATTATGTCTGTTTCAGCATCTAAATTTCAGTGATGTGACTGATTTAAATCAGAGATACACATTACTATTATTCTGCTTTTTTCTTCCCTTTCTTTATTTAAAAAGTCTAAGCTGATGATCTTGCAAATATTCATTTGAAAGTGAGATATGAAAAAGTTCCACAGTGGAGCCATCACAATTCTAACATACCTTTTTCTCCAACTCATCTTTAGTCTTGTGATACATTTGTTCATACTGAGACTTCTCTTTTGTAGTTACATTAAGTCTTTGTTTCAGTGAGTCAATGGAAGTTTTTTTGTTTGAACAGTCTTCAGCCAGTGCCTTTACCTGAAATAATAAAGAACAACTGATTATTAAGATATAAAACTTAAAAATGAAAATCAAATCAAAACTAAGCTTACCTTTATTTTATAAACTACCTGTACTATATAAACAATTTAATTCGAGTATCTTTTTCTTAAATTACATTCTTTAAAAACTCTCTGCTGATTTACTAGATTTAGTAGAGATCAGTTTGCATGTTCTCTTGTTACATAAAGTTTTGATTTGTATTAAGTGTACAGAAAACCTCTTCATTTGCAGACCTGTTTGCTTATATATAATTTACTGTTACAGTCCTTGCAAAAGGGAGTAAACCACAACTTCCACTCGGTTCCTCTGACAAAGGTAAAAACATTAACACTAGGCTGAGGAAATTAAAACTGTTAATAGTCTGTAAAGCCTCTTAGATAATTATTATCATTATCATTATTATAATTTTGCCATACAACACAAACACTGATTTTGGGTAAAATTAAATAGACCAATGCTCCTAGAAAATCATTCAGCTCTCCTGACAGTATTAATCACAAAGCTTTCCTGACAATATTGAGTAAAAGGGAATTTCTTTGATCTTCTGCTGAATATAATGTAAAATTTATCAAGTTGATTTTCCACACGGAATAATCAAATTAATGTATGGAATTTGATTCTCTGGAATCTGAAAAATGTGGTGCTTAAAATACTCATAGAACAGCATTAAAGTACATTGTTCCTTCTGAATCTTCTGTCTAAAACTAAACCCGGGTATCGCTCTCATTTTATACTTTAGCTCCCTTGCTTACTTATGCTCTCGTTCCGTGGCTGCGTATTTCTTAATAACACCTTATCTTTGGCATGGAGGGTAAGACAGTAGTGCTCTCTAGAGCTGAAAGTGCTATATGACTGCAATCAAAGATAGTGCTTGTGATATTCAGCAAGCACCCGCATTCTAGGAAAACAAAAGCAAACTGATAAATTATTTCTATTTTGGAATCATATGCTGCATAACCTCACAAGACAACCAAATGTCATAATCTTTTTCTGGTATTAAAGGCCAAAGTGGATACATTGGTTGGATAATACAGAAAGACACCAAAACCATATACAAATTCTTACAGCTTCAGTGAAAGTGACCTATAAGAAAATAAATTCCACAGAAATTAAGTTCTACCTACACAGACAGAATTACATTCAGCTAAGAACTGTGAATCATTCCTAACACTGCAGTAGAAAACAGATTAACATATTAAAGTGTTTTAAATACTATAGCCAGGAGAGGTGCATGGACTTCATGAGCATGTGTCATGTAAAATCACTTGTTTCAGGACTACTGTATTTTATGAACAGTGCATAAAACTAAATTTCACTACTTAGAGCATACCCTTCCATCTCAGTGTTCTGAATACTTCAATATTTAATTACACCTCTGATGAACATACATTAAAGTATGCTGCAACCATCCAAGCTATCAGCATATAGTGATTTCATACAAATTACATTGGAGGGAATTACACCCTCAAATTAACTCTATGTTGTTTGCTTAAAGCAATATATTGATTTAGTACGTACAGCATGTCGAAATAACTTCTGTAAATCCACTAGATTTTGCTTTTCCTAAAACTATCAATATCAAGAAAGAAGTACCTTTCTCTCAAGACTTTCTAATGTTTCATTAGAGGTTTTCTTACTTTCTTGATTTGCTTTTAGGCGAGACCTTAAGTCTTCTATCAAATGTCTTTTCATATTAAGGTCCCTCTCCAACTGAGAAATCCTAGAAGGGAAGAAGTCACACTGCATGTAATTGCTATAAAATATTGTTAATATGCAACTAAACCACAAAAACTATAAATGCAGTAAACAAACTATCATTCCTGTAGCTTTAGTACATTTTAAAAAATAAAATCTGATGCAATTCTTGCTATTTACCCTATTCTCAACAATTAAAACCAGTTTCAAGTGTCTTAAACAGACCTATTTCTAAATATGCAATTTAATTGTGATTTGGTTTTGCATGGTTTATGCTCTAACTTGTCTGATCTGAAATCATAATTCTTAAGCTATTATCAAAAAAAGACATAAAATCCGTTGAACACACAAAGTTTAATTAATTACATTTCTTTTATGCCTCAAGCAGGTATCATTCAAACACTATTTTAAACAAAATTATTTTCAGAAGTGAAAGGAGGAAGTTTCCTTTCATCCCACTAATACAGAGAAATACATGAAAAATTTATATCCCTGTAATGTGTCAGATAATAATTCTTAAAAACTGCAAAACCCATAAATAACATGAGCAATTTTCAGAAACTTGGCAAAAAACCCCCTCATGTCCTACAACATAATCTGTATTATGAGAAAATTATGCCTTATGTAATGCCTCCACCATTATGAGACAAATTAATATCTTAAATATAAACATAAGCAGTACTTGAATATATTCAGACTTCTGGATTTTTTTTTTTTAAATAAAAGCAAAATAAATCATAATATGTTTGGTAATAAACCACTGTTGATACCATGTCAATACTATATTTAAAAAAAAAGGGAAAACAGTGCATCTTAAAATTCCTTCCATCTATTTCACAGTTATACTATTAATGTTATTTTGGTGATTATATCTTACAGTTAATGAAAAAACAGTATCTATTTTATAAAGAAAGCACGGTAACCTGTAACTATTTTAAATCTAAGCCTTGTGGTGGAAAAATTAATTTTCACTTTGAAACGGCAAATACACAGTGTATGAAATTTAACAATTTTAAGAGTTCTTTATTTTTGAAATGAACTGATTTCAGATAAGTAATCTGCATTCTTTCTACAAATAAAAAATAACAGTGGTTAGAGGAGCTAAACTCTGGGACAGGCAAGAAATTAACAGATACTAATAGCTTATGTTTATATAGTAATGAAGAACAGTATTTTACCAGTTAAAGCAGACAGAATAAAAATCTTGGTTGCATACTTCAGAACAATACATATGAATTTTAAAATGAGTAATAAACCCTTAATCAATTCAAATAGAAACAAATACAACTGTCTTTTTGAACTTTTTATGAATGTAAGATTGGATATTTAATCTTGTTTAAGCATCTGAACCTTGACATGTCTCATAGCCCCTAGGCAAAGAATTACTGTATTTGAAGGACTGTGTTTAACAGTGCTGAGGAATTCATTTAGACTTACATCAAGGATAAAATAGTCTACTCGAGAGTCTGAGTTTTGATTTAAGGTATTGTTATGGCAATACACTACTACAGCTAGCTAATCACTCATCAGTTTAAACAAAATGCAATTTTAGCATGTACTGCTCCAGTTTCTAAAAAAAATAAAATCCTCTAACAGTCTGCAAGACTGCAACAAAAAGACGAATAAAACATTCTCTTAAAAATCTATTCAAGAATGGTTAATGTTCTAACAATTATGCAGCTGCCACTGGGTGGCACCAAACACAACGGATAGAAGAGTGAACATACTTCGCTTGTAGTTCCCGAATCTGTTGTTCTTTTTCCTGGACTTCCTTTTTCAGTGCCTTAATGGTGGTCGATTGCTTAGCGATTTCATTATTCGAATTCTATATTGGAAAATGTTAAAATATAAATAAAGCAGAATTAATATTATCGCAGTTAACTATAAATTTGTTGGAAATAATGGGCTGTGTAAACTTATACATATTTATGAATGTTCTTAGAAATTAACTGGTACAAAAGGAGCACTCTTAATTTCCTAGACTTAAGGAAAAGTACATTTCTCAGAAAATATTATCAAAATCAGTACTTTTCCATTGCTCTAATAATGTATGATTAATAAATGTTCCCCAGGACACCTGCAAGCCCAGTGCACCTATCAGGACCACATTTTCTCTTGCACACCACGGTCAGCTGAAAATTAACAGAAAATAAATAAATTGGATCTTCATTTGATCTTACATCCTTGAATGGTATCATCCCACAGCACAAGGGGCCTACATGTATAGACCAACAACTTACAATAATCCCTTTCATCTTGTGCACTTAAAAATCCAGACAAACAACAGGAGCAGTTGTTCTTGTGTCCCTTGAAAGCACAAGACAAAAACATTTCCATTTGGCCATACTAACACAAATCCTACATTTCAGTAATAAAAAGGTATGATCCTAACTTTCAGGCATGTGCAATTCCAGTGAAGGAGAATTATATAGTTGTTGGCCTTTCCTCGTGGTCTATAGTAGGAAGTAAAAAAAGAGCCTCAATTTTTCCATGCAAACACACAGATAATCTAGTCAATATTTAAATACAGAACAACAGAATCACTCTACAGAAATAAAAATATGAAATTTAACTAAGTAGCCATCTTGGCAATCTGAGCATATGCACTGAATGCCATTGCTGAAAATGGCACCTCAAACATACCGCATACAGATTTCAGAACTCCAAAAGGTGTTGCCAGAAGATACATATGTGTTAAGCATACACACAACATATATGCACGCACATATGCATGCAGGCTCAGCTACTGTACTAAAGCTTTTTTACTCATTATGTATAAACAATAAGCAAACAAATCAGACAAGCTGTAAACAAAGATACTTCAGGAGAATTTCTCTGCACAGTGCAGACTTGCAACACCTATTAACATTAATGGGAGTATTGTACATAATTCTGTGCACCTCAAGGGGAGTATATATTCTTGTGTGCATAGTTAGATGTAAAATATTGTTCTTAATAACTTGTCTAGTCTATTTACTATTATTATAATGTGAGGTGTAACCAGAAAATTGTTAAAATGATGTATGTTAGCAGAATATTCCTGAGACCTGTTTGTTGAGCTTGAGCTTCATCAGCATGAAGCACAGCACCCAGTTACATGGTTCACACACCAGATATGAACTTGAATTCTTGGGTGGGCCTCTGCACATGCTCAGAGGCAAAGACATATGTTTATGGTTCTTTGCTTCCAAACTCACCACCCACACTTAACACATTTCTTCCTACTGGCAAAGATACAAGGAGTCATTACATACAACATAAACAAACCCTGCAAAGAAAGCTCTGAGAAAAACAAAAATTACCAAACCAGGTACACTTTGAGATTTTGAGCTATAAGGAAAGCTTTTGCTGCTTCCACATTCAGACATTTAGGAAAATAACTCTGTATCTACTTTTAAAGTACACTAGATAGCCTAGAACAACAGTTGACAACTCACAATTTCTTCTGCTAAAAATGACTTTCAGGACTTAGTAATTTTTCAGATATTCAGTACAAAATAAGGCTAAGAATTTCAGTAACCTGATTTAAGTAGCTTTTGAGGCCCTTTTAATCAAAACTCTTATCCAATTCAGCAACTAGTGAATTTACTCTATTAATCTGGATTTGGGGTCACAGTCTATGGTTATTTTAAAGGTAGTTTTGCACACATGGTTTATTTTTGACATTAAAAATGTAATACATCTTTAAGAAAGAATTAAAAATCATGTTAGTAGTTTTGACATCCGATTTATAAATGCTTGATAAATGTTTGCTGCAGAAACAAGAAAATATTTGATTATTCAGCAATATATTTTGCAGTTCACATATAGCAGACAAAATAAGTGTTTTTTTAGCAGGAGTGTTACTCAAAGTATTTTACCAAAAAAAAAATCCTCATTTTTTTTATTTTCCCTATTTTCATAGCAATTAGCTACTAGATTTCTGGATAAGGAGAACAGTGATCTAAAAGGAACAACTCTAAATAACAAAAATTACCACTCACCAGCAACAGAAGCAGATTAAGATTAGTCAAACCCAAATCTAAAACATTCAAGAAGCCAGTGTGTCTGGTTTCAAGATCTCTTTCTCATAATGAAAGTAGATCAAATTATGTGCTTTTTCATGGCTACCCCTGCTGCCCTTGTACCTTAAACGTGGCCTACCTTTATTAATTCCTGAATCTAGATTTTACACATTCAGTGTGCTATAGCCAAGATCTATAATACCATGATTACCATCAACAGCTAAGACACCTAAGCACTACCCACATCTAGTGCATTAGCACAGCTAATCCAGTACTCAGAGCCAGAGCCAGCTATAACACGCATGTAATATGGCCTTTTCTAGTGAGACTTTGGCAGCTGGCTTGCTAGTGTTCAGTTTCTTCTAGCAGCAAGAAGCTGTACCGTTTTGACTTCTTCTCTTTCCTCAAATATTAAACACGAAATGATGGAAAAAAACAACTTTAAGACATTCTGTTGCATAGATATATTTCCTCCAGTGAAAAGAGAGAAAGAATTATTAAGTTTGAGCCAGGCCACCTGCAGAGAAAGTTCTCAGATCAACACAGTACAGCATCTACATCATCCACATGTAATAGAATCACTGGAGACCGAAAAATATAATCCTTGAGTTAGTATTTTCCTACCAGCTAACCTCCAAAAATACAGATAAAGAATTATGTCTCTTTGAAGACAAGAAAAGCAGTGACACATAGATAACATAACTGTTACATTATATGAGCTTTCTCATCGGTGCAAACTCTTTGCTCGCCTTTCACAGATAGCTATAGCTTACTCTCTTCTTAAAGGAAGCAAGTAATCGACGCAATTCTCACTGAAGTAATTCCACAGCACTTTCCAACAAGATGCATTTAATCATTCTGTAAAAACCCAGCAATCCCCCTGTCTGGCCTATTTGATCTACAAAAATTGTTTTAATTGTAACTTTTATTTCTCCTGATTATGAATACATTTTTACTTAACATCAAAGGTTATCTAACACCTAAGTTGCTCATCACTGGCTAAGATATACAAATGATATGCATATGTGAGTGTACATATATCTGCTAAACCCAGTTATGAAACACTGTTCATATGAATTATCCTCAGCGCTAGATAATCTGTTCTGTCACCTTTAGTTTGCACTGCAGCTGTTTCATCTCTAAATCAATGTTCTTTGAAGGAGCTGGTGTGGCTTCACTCTTGCCAGCAGTTTGAGACAGATGTTCGCTCAACTTCAATTTTCCTTGTAAATCTTCCTTCTCCTGTTGCCACTTGGCCAGGTTGGAGGTCAACATCTGTTTTACAAGCAGAAGAAACAATCACTATTGCATCCTAAAAGTATTTCTGGTTGATCATTATGAGACGCTTCTCAGGTTCAGAATTCAAGAGGAATGACAGTATGTATTATCTGTACTTACACTGCATAGCTATTGGTTGAATTCTCTAGACCCCACAAAGATCAAATACAGCAGGAAAAAGACAACTAATGTTAAAAACAAGCAATTTTTAAAAAAGTCAAGTTAATTCAATTTTGACTGTACACTTTGCTATTTTTATCATGACAGGCAAAAATTATCACACAAAACTGTAACAGTAGTTACTGTAGAAACCTGTTCACCTAGAGCCAATCTGGGATACAACAGTTATTTCTATACTGAACATGAAAAAATACCAAGGTTTCTCAGACATCAATATGTATTAAAGGTGATTAAATGTCAGATCTGTTTTAATGGCGGCCACTGTAAGCTCACTTGAATTGCTGTGTTGACAACTGCTGTAAAGCATACATCCTTCTCTTGGCTTTTGTTTTGATATTTGTAGGGCTTGTAGAGGTTAAAGCAAAGTGGACCAGCTGCACTAAATATCTTCTGGTTGGCTGGTCTTTACTCGTGTTATTTCTTCCCTTTCACATATATGCACCATAGCCAGAGAACCACATATTCCATAACCTTGACTCTAGGGCTGAGGTACTTAAGTGGTAAAAGCCAAGCTGGAGCAGGACAGGATAACAGATGTTAGTTGTTTATTCCACTGGGTAGGTCTTACCACCCTATACTGCAGCCAAAATGCTTCTCATTTAGCAACATAAATGCTAAGTCCAATTAGCAGATGAGGCTTGTTAGGGATTTAGTTCAAATAAATAACATGCAAACAAACTCTCAGTCTTGTTGCACTTGACTGACAACTGACAAGACTTATTCAATCTTTGTAACAATGTATTTCACAGTACTCCTTATAGAGGTAATCTTTTAAATAAAATATTTGTTTTAATTTAGATAATACTGAATGTTGTTCTGCAAAAAGAGGAACTGAAACAATCTTCATACTAGTGGTTAACTTTCATGAATCTGTAGTCAGCCAAAAGCCACCAATGGCCTAACAACTCTCTGCTCCTTAAGAGGTTAACTACAGTACTTAATACTCCAAAGAAGACTGTAATATGGTAGTTTAATATAAGGAAGAATTATAGAAAATCCTATTGAAATATCTCAAAAAATCATGGTGAGAGAAATTTAAAGATAGCATTTTATTTCCAAGCATTTTATATTAACTAAAAAATATATTCTATACTGTTTGATGCTATTAGACGAAACTTTTTAGAGACGTGTTTATATACACATACACTTCTATACAATCATCTGAAGATCATATACATATCCAAATTAAAGAAAAACTACTTACGGTCATGTTTATTTCCATTATGAATGGCATGAGAATGCTTGCAGATTTTGCATTAGCTTAAAAAAATACAATGGATACAAGAAAATGCATCCTGTATTTAAAATTAACACTCTTAACAGTATTTCATACTTAAGTGCATTTATTAAAGCCAATGGACAGTTTTCCTATGTATCTGAGATAAGTGCTCTTCTTAGTAAAGGGCTTAATCTTTCCATTCTCTTCTGCATCTGTTGTCATTATTGGACAAGAGATAAATAGTGTTAATGTATTTTTTAACTGGCTATTCCTTAATCTGATATATTATTCTTACAATTAATACAGTCTGAAGTAAAATACCAAATGAAAGCTACTTTAATAAGAAAAAATAGTAGTAGTACAGAAAGATATAGTATAGAAAGATATAATGATTAGGTTAATTTGCCAAGTATACCCAATGTATTACTACATGCAGTGTCTCTATAATAAATTATTCATAAAAAGAAAAAAAAATCATAGCTAGATCAATATCTCTGATTAAAATTAGAAATGCTGCCATATCTGCCAAAGATAGCTCATGACTCTCAGAAGTTTCTTAGGCTCCTGCTGCCACCAAAATGGATAGGTCTAAAATGCCATTATTGCACTGGGCACAACAAAAATATATTGAAAAAGAAAGGTCTTTCATGGGACAGGTGCAAAAGAGGACAGTGCTATGTTGGTTAGCAAATTTACTTAAGTGAGGAGGTAGAAAAAATATTTAAAATATTAATTTACATAAATTCAGAAACAGCATCAGAACTATGAGGGTGAAGTGAAAGTAGTAGCTGACGTACAAGAGAAACATACCCCAACTTGCAAAAGCAAAGACAGACATGCAATTGCAGTCAGAGATACCAGGAAGGTTGTCTCTGAACAGCTCTGGAAATAATGTAAAATGTGTTACAGGCTTGATAATGCTACTGCATTATTTTTCTATTTGCAATATACTGAAAATTTATGTAAAAATTCTATAAAAATCTATGCAGGATATGAAAAACAGTCCCTCTGCTCCAGCAAGATATTTATGCCTAAGAGATATACATACCTCGTGTTTACCTAAGAAGCAAGTTCATTACCCTGCTGTCCCTCATCACTTGCTAAATTTTAGGTCAAATCTTTTGTTCTTTTTAACTTTTTAGACACGGAGGAGTTATTGTGAGTGTGCTACCATGCATGCAAATCCTAAGTGATATGGAGTAAAAAAGGATTTACTCCAGGGAAAGAGGTCACCAGGATGAAAGGCAGAATCTTAACCACCAGCTAGACTAGATGACAGTAAAGGTAGGCTACCACTGTTCCTCCATGATGTAGCCGCCTGTGTCTGTTCTATCTTTTCGAGTGTTTCAGCTTAACAGATGTTTACAAATTCAATATTTTAATATCTATCTTAATATCCTTGCTTGGTATACCCATGACTCTCTGTTCTGCTGTACACAAAAGGATAAGTGATGAAATCTCAAGTTTCTATGTAGTCAATGAAAAACTTCCAGTGACTCAGCAAGGCTTTTTACTGTAAGCCCTCTACTCAGAAAGACAGCTACATGGAAGGCCCAATGGATTAATATAGGAAGCTCCTGGAACGGTCTATTGATCCTTGGAATCACAACCACCCTGTGAGGAGCTTCTAGCAGCTGTCACCCTCCTACTGCAACTGTCATGCATGAAAATGACACTTATGGTGGCTGATACTGCACTGCCACTGGTGTACATGATCCCATGTATTTATATTGCAGGGTATATTATACAGAATATATTTCAGGCAAAATTATAAAATAGGATGTAGAGGTATTTTTGAAACCCATTTTAAGAAATTACATAACCTTATTTTATTATTCATTTTTTAATCCGACTATAACTAATATCTGCAGATGTGTAAAAATCATATTTGCTATGAAGTTTCCCGTCCTAAAATCCTGGCAGATTAAAACATTACAATACGCAGAGACACCTGTAAGAAACCCAAAGTCAACATATTCCTCCTTTTCTCTAAGAAACTTTGCTACAGTAGGTAATAAAATACATTTGCTAAAATATACAGCTCCTGTACACCAAGTTCTATTTTAAAATCTAACACTAATCAGCTGAATATTTTAAATAGAATGCTATTTTCTCGCAGCTTTAGCTTGATCATGAAAAATATACAAGATAAGCAGTACTTGTTGCACATACAAACCATGAAAGAACTTTTCAAAATATATTTGCAAGCAGAGTTACTTATTTATGATTTTACATACTCTAGCAAATGTTATTACAACATAATGATAAACCTATTTACAATATCCAAGGCAAAATTTAGAGTCAATCCTCCTAATCTTGACCCTGTTTTGTTCTCTTGAATCAAAACCTACTCCGCCTGATGGGTCACAGAAAAATTAATAAAGATGGTATGTAGCTATCAGAAAATATGAAAATATATACACCAGACTAAAAAGCCAACTGTGCTGCATACTTAATGTGATCATATAGAGAAAAGGCAAATAACTCCAAATCCTCAGTGAAAGTTTTTTTCATGCAAGTGCTGTAAGTGGTTGATTACTTAGTATTCTAGCCATGAAGACAAAATACGAAACAGAAGTCTTTGGTGACTTAATATCTAATCCCTAAATTGAAACAAAGACCCCCAAATCCAATAAAAAGTTATAAAATGTAGAAGTTATTTGTCATTTATTCTTCTGAAATTTTAGGAAAATTTACTGTACCACTGAGTTTTAATTTTTTTACAGCCAAATGCAGTTATCAGCAGCTGACTGTTTCACAAAATGTCAAGTAAATGAAGGTAATATAGAGGACTTTTTGCCAGTGCTTTAGCTAGTTAGACTTCAGTAGCCTTTAGAGACCATTAAGTACCCTTTGGCTAATTGGCCAATGGTAGATTAATCCTCTTTTTATTCTAGCAGCACTATTTTAACACCCTTTGCACTCTGTCAGTGTAGTATCTGAATGACAAAATAATATTGTACATGAATAATAAGCAGAAAAGTTAAATTAACATTTCATGTTTCACATGCCATACCTATGTGTCAGGAAAAAAAAAACCCACCTCTTTTAAAGCCACTGACATTAAACTTTTTTAAACAATCTCATGTTGACATCTTATTGAAGTGAATCTTCCTAATTACTGCTAATTGCCTATCAAGGAAAAAAAAAATCTTTCCTTGAAGTGCAGTTGTCTAGTATAGATGAACACAGCTCCAGTGTGCACAGTAAAGACAGGCATGACACTTGAGGTGTGCTACATTATTAGGAGGTCATACTAAATATGGTTTGCAACGAACAAAGCAGCTTTTAAGGATGTTTAAGGCACTGAAAATGTCAATCTCTCATGAAGTGTTTAAATTAGTTCCCAACAGAGAAATACAGATATCAGCATGCAGTTAAAAGGTGTATTTCTCATCTCAAGTATTTTACTAAAGAAAAACATAGTTATCCTATTGATAATGTCACTGTAACACAATTGCAGTTCATCAGCTTTATAAAAGCAATGTTTACACTGTTATCTACAGAATGGCTCTTTCACACATACAAATTATAAATTCGGCTATTATTGGGAATACAGTTGCAATCACTAAAAAACACTCTGACCAAAGGCTTTGAA